TCAGAGCTTGCTTGTTTTCTCATAGTCCTTACACGGGTTGTCAAGAAGAGCCCGGGGACCCACACCTCGGCCGAGCCTTGAAGTCCAGGTTGGCCACGCGAGACTAACCTTTATGGACGGGCACTTTTTGTGCTCCAAACAACGTGGGGTTTCCTTTCCCAGACGGGGGTATGTACCCCGGAGTTGTCTGTATGGCCTCCCCCGCAATATTTTTCACCAGCATCTAATCTAAGAAACTGGTGTGGTTATAAAGCACTGGAGAAGCGTTTCCCCGTTTTTCTGCCCACAAATAAATGGGAACCGACGGTCGTATCTAATTGTGTGTGGACGGGGAGGCAATTGGATGATAAACAAGTTCACGCCTTAACCTTTGAGTCAGGTTGGTTAAATATAAAATTGGAGGCATTACCAATTAGCTGACAATCGGAGACAATTATCCAGCCTTATTATTTCAGCCGTACATTACGGGAACTGAATTCTATCCTAGGAGTCGGGAAGCTTCAACAACCGGGGAAGACACGCAGGCAGTAGGGTTAAAACTATGAGTAGTAATTAACCAGAAGTAAATTAACTTTTCTCTTCCTGCACAATGCTGTTCCAAGACGCCCTTCTCACTCTAGAATCCTTTTCATAAATCCATTTTTGCCCAACTGGTTCTCTGACATTTGTCGTCTTGGCTTTTTTGGAGGGAGCCTGGGAATTCTGGTGTTGTTTAGTTTTTGTCTGTGTCTAAGGGAGGACGTTTTTACACAAATCTGAACAGAACAGCTCGGGCTACAAGCGAAAAGAAATGTTTTGACTGGCGACCTTGTGACAAGGTCATCCATCATTTTTCGGGACAGATTGATAACACCTAAGTTAAAGACAAACATCAACCGAGGAGGCGAGCGAGGGAAAGAACCGAAGTCTGCTCTCCAGTGCCAAACCCCTTTCGGAGATACCAAATGGATCGCTAGCCTTCTCGTTGCCTTTGATTCATTCGAGATGTTTGGGACAACGATTTCTCGCTGCATCTTCTCCGGCCATCGCCTTTTAAAGATACTGATATACAGTGTTGCCCTTTGCAGCACTGGAGGAGAGTGGTTTTAGATCAATGTGAAAAGGGACAAACCAGAGAGCAAAGCGGAAGAAGAGCTATTAAAAACGGAGAAAAGAACTCAAGGCGGTTCTTTTCTCGACGGTTAAGGGCGCAGAACCCCTTAGATATGGTCCTGGGAATTGAAAATTACTTTCGAGTAAATTGAGACTTGAACTTCAATTCACTCGAAAGCAAGAGTCCAAGTCCACCTCTACGGTCCCTATTGCAAACGCCTTGCCTCTCCCAATATAACAACGATTTTAAAAAAATATGCGAGGAAACCAACCGAACTTGCAAGTGGGGAGGGAAAAGGGTCAGACAAGAGAAAGGACGGTCAATAGCTCCATTTGTCTTCCAGGTGAAGCTGGAGAACCGGAGGTGTGAAGAACCGGAGGGTCTTGGCGCAAGCGAAAGTCCCACGGAACCATTTGGGGAAGGGGGGGGGGAAAGCGCTGCAAGAAGATCCGCGATCCAACCTGAAGGTTGAAGGATCAATGCCAGATTTAGCAGTGTCCCCTTCCCCCAACTACGCTCAATTCCTTTAAGCGCCGGCCTGCAGAGGCGCGGATCTTTCTTCCCATCTTCGATGGCTGTTGTTTAAAACACACACACACACAAAACAACAACACACATCCAAAGCTGCCTCTGGGCTATAAAGTTTTCCCACCCCCCTTACTTTGAGCAGTTCATTAGGCATGCTGGCGGGGGATGAGGGGAACTGCAGTCCAATATATCTTGGGCGACCTGGGACGGGGAAAGGCCAGGAGAGTCTTCCCCTTTCCCTTCCCTACTCCTTCAAACCAGTCTGTATCTCGGCTTCAACAGAAGCTAAACAGCGTCCGGGGAGGCCACGGTAAAGGCGAGGAGGGGTCTCAAGGGTTTGGATAGAAGGTGGAGCAGTTGCTCTGGTAAATGCGCCGAAGTGTGGGAGTGTAGGTGTGGGGGACACTGGACCTCCGGAAAAAAACCAGCGCGATGAGTCGCCGGAGCCAAAACCGAGCCCCAAAGTGGGAGCAAGGAGGGACCCCCCCTTTCTTTGCTCCAGTGCAGGCCAGGCCACCCTCACTTAAGACTCAGTTTTCTTTTCTTTTCTTTTTCCTTTTCTTAAGCCTCACCCTGAGCTTTTGGGGGTTTCCCCCTTTGCTGGTTTTTCAGAAAGCGGCTTCTGGGTTTACAGGGGTCGTGAGCAAGACCTCTCTCGCCCCCCGCCCAGATTTAGTATTCCGGCACAGGCACGCGCCCACCCTTCCCCGCCCCTCGCCTTCTCATCAGGCTTTTTTTTTTTTAATGATTATTATTTATAGGGCGAAGAGAGAAACAAATCACATCGACCCTCTCGAAAGCGATCGCACTTTTGATAAAAAAAAAAAATCCACCGCCCACCCCCCCCAAATCGATTGGTGAATATTTGTTAGGAATCCATTCCCAGAGAAATAAATAAGGAAAGGCGAAGTGTATTACATGCAAAAAAAGGTGAAATGCGGTAGTGTTTTTCTTCATTGATTAATGACCTCTAAAATAAAACAAGCAGGAAGAGGAGCCAGAATCGATAAATTAACTGCCCAAATCCATCATTTTTTTTTCCCTGGGAATATTGCATATCTTCTGACCCCCCCCCCCTCTTTTTCCCCCCTCTTAATGCTTTCTTTCTTGAGAAAGCAAGGAAACACAAGCTGGGCGAAACGAAGACCGCAAAAAAGGCACCGAATCGGGAAGGCCCTATCTGATTTCGTTTGACACGCAATTAAAAAAAGTTTCTTTTCATATTAATTAATTCTCCCAATCTGATGGGGAAGACAAATGGTCGAGCGCCTCTGACAGGAGACCGATAAAGGCTTCAGCAGTTTCCTTTCCAGCCCTGGGCGCCTCCTCATCCTACTTTTAAGGTCAGGAGAGCGAACTTAATAATACATTAATAGAGACATTTATCCAGAAGCCATTCCCGCCCCTCTCCTGCAGAGCCTTTTGGAGACCGAGGGACAAAGAGGGCGAGAGGCGTGAGAGGAAAAGTAGCGCCAGGTACTTGGTCTTTGTGTGTGTGTGTGTGTGGAGGGGGGAGAGGCAGTTTTGAACTTTCAACCGTCAAAATGGCGGCCCGCGGGCCGGATGCGTCACGCACAGGCCACGCCCACTCCCGGCTCGGCAAAGGCAAAAAACCTTTTTCGCGATACGTCACGTGACGCGATCGAGTTGGACCCCCGTGAGAAAATGAAAGCCCTGAAACAAAATAATCAGGGATGACGTCGCTTCTTTCCCGGAGCTCTTAAGCGCAGTGTTTCTCAACCTTGACCATTTTAAGGCATGTGGACTTCAACTCCCAGAATTCCACAGCCAGCGTTGCTGGCTGTGGAATTCTGGGAGTTGAAGTCCACATGCCTTAAAATGGTCAAGGTTGAGAAACGCTGTCTTAAGGTCTCATAAGGGGCTTGCTTGAAACGGGGGAGGGAAAGCTTCTCTAGGGTTCGCCTTTTTGTTGGAACCTCAGTAGGATGGGTGGGGTGGGAGATCTGGTCATGCTTGAGGTTAGAAGGCGCAAGGGCGGTAGGTTTGGACAGAAAATGGTGGGTAACTTGGTTTCAGCATCCAATGACGGT